CGCACCCGCCGGAGGCGGTGGGGCCAGCCCTGCCGGGATTCACCGGTGACCCCAGGAGCTCCCGCCGCTCCCCCCACCTTCTCCCACCTCCCCTTTGCAAACCGGCCACGGTTACCGGCACCTCCGGGGACCCGGCATCCCCGGGGAGCGCCGGAGGAGGCGGCGGATCCGGCGGAACCGACCCGCCCGAGGGGCCGCCGGTACCGGCTGCCAGAACCGGGAACCCCCCGGCGACCCCCTCAGCACCTCCCTCCCCACACCTGCCCTCCTCAGGAAGCTGCAGAGATCCATGAGGTCTCCCCTCTGCCTCTTTTTCTCCAAACCAGACAAGCCCAATGTCCTTAGCTGCTCCCAAGGACCAGTCAGCCCAAGGTCTATCAGTATTATTAAAAACTGAGGCCAAAAAAAGCACTGAATGCCTCCACTTTTTCTTCATCCCTAGTAGGCAGGTGACCATCTTCAACAAGTGTCATTCCAATGGTTTCTTTAGACCTCCTCCTACCATTAGCCTACTTTAAAAAGTATGTTCTTGCTGTCTGGAACAACACTGGCCAGTTTCAACTCTAATTGAGCTTTGGCCATTCCTGTCTTCTCCCTCCACACACAACCCCCAGCTCTGTAATCTTCCTGTGAAGCCTGACCTCGCTTCCAGAAATCATACAATTTCTTTTTCTTCTTCAGCTCCACGTTAGGGGAGATGCTGATAAAAGCTCGACTGAAGTCAGGGTAGACAATGTCCACTGCTGTCCCCTCACCCACCCAGCCCATCACACCACCACAGAAGGCCAGAGTGCTCAAGGTCAGAGTGATCACAGAATCACAGAATCTTCTAGGTTGGAAGGGACCTTAAAGATCATCTTGTCCAACCGTCAACCTCACTGACAAAAACAGACACCCACACAACAAACAAGGAGCATCATCACTAAACCAGACCTCCCAGCACTACATCAACCCGCTGAGGGTGCACTCGATCCCCTCGTCCAGATCATTGATAAAGATGTTAAAGAGAATTGGCACGGCAACGGAGACTCGTCACACCCAGGAACCATGACAGAAGTGTCAGCAGCAGCGAGGCCCACGCTGCTCTTCCACAGAGAGCCACACGCAGAGGCAAGGGGCTGCCCACAGCCCCACCGACCCTCAGGAACCATGACAGCCCTGGGCAAGTGTCAGCAGCAGCGAGGCCCACGCTGCTCTTCCACAGAGAGCCACACGCAGAGGCAAGGGGCTGCCCACAGCCCCACCGACCCGCTGGCACACGGCAGAGCTCCTACCTGGGCAGCACCGGGCCACCTCCTGAAGGAACGTGCGCGTGTGGGAACCAAACGGCAACTGCACCGTGAGCTGATCATCCTCTGAGCTGATCCGGACAGTCACGTCAGAGCCTAAGGACATCGGGAGGAGAAGAGAGAGCCTTCAGAAATTGAGCGTTTTCTGCACCCTACAGCAGCTGGTGCACACACACACACAGACTTCAGTCTCCACACACCTTCTTACCACGTTCCTTTTCCACGTTTTACACCAGAATTCCATTTAACAATATAAAAATCACTGTTTATAACCCTACAGCAGCTGGTGCACACACACACACAGACTTCAGTCTCCACACACCTTCTTACCATGTTCCTTTTCCACGTTTTACACCAGAATTCCATTTAACAATATAAAAATCACTGTTTATAAAATTCTTATTTTGCTGAATCACAGAATCACAGAATCTTCTAGGTTGGATGGGACCTTAAAGATCATCTTGTCCAACCGTCAACCTAACTGACAAAAATAGACACCCACACAACAAACAAGGAGCATCCCCATCACTAAACCATACCTCCCAGCACTACATCAACCCGTCTTTTGAACACCTCCAGGGATGGGGCCTCCACCCCCTCCCTGGGCAGCCCATTCCAATGGCTGAGAACCCTTTCAGGGAAAAAAATTTTCCTAATATCCAGCCTGAACCTCCCCTGGCACAACTTGAGGCCATTTCCTCTTGTCCTGTCGCCTGGGACTTGGGAGAAGAGACCGACCCCCACCTCTCTACACCCTCCTTTCAGGGAGTTGTAGAGAGCAGTAAGGTCTCCCCTCAGCCTCCTCTTCTCAGTGACAATAACTAATTTTCCAGAAGCAGTTTAAAGCATTTGGCAAAACCCTTCCTTTGGCTGAACCGGGGTGACAACACTCATTAGCACAAGCTGTACCTCATTAGCACAAGCTGCACCATGGCACACAGCTCACCCAGCTCCCCAGCAGCACCCAGACAAGACCCCTGTGCCCAGCAGTCCCATCAGGAGAGCCCCCACTCCTGCCCCCCCCCCCGGGGTGTAGCTGGTGCAGGGCCCAGGAACACCCGTAGCACAGGCATGAGCACAACAACTGAACTCACCGATGACGTGAAGGTCACTGTCAAGCACAACTGTGAAAGCAAACCAAAGCTGAGTTACAAAGGTCGGTTCACAGATGGCACCCACACTCTGAGGTTACTGAGCTCGTTAGGTCCCTCAAACCCCAAATACTCCTCGCAGGAACAGACACCCAGCACGAACCTGCGGGGCAGGAGGCCGTGGCTGGTGCTCAGGAGGACACAGGGTGCTCTGGACTGCAGAGCATTGATCCATCAGGGCCCTTCCAGCTCTGCCAGTGAGCACAAGTGTCACCAGGGATGACAAATTGATGGAAAAACACGAAGGCTGAATAGATCTCAAATTTCAGCAAGTAGAACAACAACATACGGACTCAACCCCCTTCATCCCCTTCTCTGGAGGTGGCCACTAAACTCCCAACGCGTGTTTCACTGAATTTCACTGAATTTTATTGTTGGAAGGGACCATAGAGATCATCTAGTCCAACTCCCCTGCCAAAGCAGGACCACCCAGAGCTTGTCAGAGCATGTTACTCAGGAGCATCCAGGCGGGTCTTGAAAATCTCCAGAGAAGGGGACTCCACACCCTCCCTGGGCAGCCTGTTCCAGGGCTCTGGCACCCTCACTGTGAAGAATTTTCTCCTCATGTTTAAGTGGAACCCTTTATGTTCCAACTTGTGCCCATTGCCCCTTGTCCTCTCACTGGCAACCACTGAAAAGAGTCTGGCTCCCTCCTCCTTCAACCCTCCCTTGAGATACTTGTCAGCATTAATAAGGTCTCCCCTCAGCCTTCTCTTCTCCAGACTAAAGAGTCCCAGCTCTCTCAGTCTCTCCTCATCAGGGAGATGCTCCAATCCTTGAATCATCTTTGTTGCCCTTCACTGGACTCTTTCTAGTAGTTCCCTGTCCCTCTTGAACTGGGGAGCCCAGAACTGGACGCAGGATTCCAGTTGTGGCCTCCCCAGTGCAGAGTAGAGGGGGAGAGTGTTAGTTAGTACCTTCTTCCACTGCAAACCCTTCTGTGATGGGGATAACCTTCTCCAGCCAGACGTCCTCAGCAGTTATGGCCATCCGCCGGTGGGTGTACACGTAGATCCTGCACGGGGGGGAGCAGACAGGGAGCAACGTCCCCTCGGTCCCAGCACCCCTCCAGGGTCCCATCAGACCCCATCCCACCCAGCAGCACCTGCCACCGCAGCCTCCAGCAAACCCCCAACGCAGCTTCTGGGCCACGTGCCCACCCGCCCCCTCACCCCCCCCCAGTTCAATCAGAAAGTTATTTACGTTACTGACAAAGTGCACCAGCCCAAAATCCCTAGGGCCGGGGCTTTTCCCACTAACCATCCCTAACGCCCGGCAGGAGAAAGGCCAAGGCAAACCCCCCCAGGAGCAAA